TGGCAGTGGGGGCGGGGGAGGGGGCATGCTTGCCATGCCTGGCAGTGGGGGAGGGGAAGGAGGCATATGTGCCATGCCAGGCAATGGTGGAGGAGGAGGCAGCAGTGGGGATAGTGGGGTGGGAGCAGCAGCAAGGGGTGGAGATGTATTCTTCCCTGGTGATGCTGAGCAGGTCGGAAGCTGCGAGGGCAGGATGGCCTCTGGAGGACTTGGTGGTGCTAGTGTGCTGGGGACAACGGCTGCCACAACAGGGCTCTGCTTTGCATTTGGCAGCTCCTCTAAGTCCGTGTCCGTTTGACTGCATTCATTTACATTCTCAGGCGATTGGTTTTGCTTTATTTTTTGTTTGTTTGGATGCTTCTTTATGGAGAGCAGTCTCTCGATGATGTCTTCAACACTGTTCCCTTGTACTGTAAATATAACAGACTTAAACCAGGATAAACAGTGCAACCGAAACACTGGCATACTATTCAAATTCTTTCCAAACAATGTGTATGTATCTATGTGTCTATCCCCCTTGTTTCTTCACTTACACTGCTGAAGTCTGCAGATCTGTTTTACAGTGAGATTTTTCCCTAACGAACTCACTATATGATCAAGACCCGGACTGAAAGCCAGATCCAAAATTGATTGCAATCTGCAGAAAGGCTTTCATGGTTGGAGGAGAACAATTTTTGGAGTTAGTTTACAGAGATGAGAAATGAAGTCCTGGCCCCACTGAAGCAGATGGTGAAACGTCCACTAATTTCAGTAGACCCAAGACTTCCATGCAGATGCACATTTATTTTCATTCTGAGTTCTGTTTAATCTTGATGGGTTCCAGACCTGAAGTAACTTATGTATGCATGAAAAAGACTTAAGGAATGGAGAGCAAGGCTTGGGATACCAGTCAATCAAAATGGTCTTACCATCATTTGCAAGCAGAATGGCCCTGTTTGCTAAGGTAACCAAGGATTCCCACAGCAGCAGGCTGGAGTGATGAGAAGATTCCAGATGCAAAAGGCTCTGGAGAATGGACAGCAGTTGGATAGAGGCTGGAGAGCTGCTCACCTAAAATACATGGCAACTCCTATTAATTCTTTCATACGTGAGGCCAGCACCCATTTCTTGTGTGGAGTGATGGATACTGGTGTTAGCACTGCAGAAACTTTATCTCAAAAGTGAGGGCCTACTTACTTTATTGAACAGAGATGTAAAGACCTCCTGGTGATTGTTCATGTCAATCCCATCACTTATCTTCAGCAATTCCTCGTCATCTTCTGTCTTGGCCTCCTCAAATGTTTCACACTGGATAAGCAGATCATCCTCTTCTATGTCTCTGCCATGCCAGAACATTTGTTTTAATTGGAGAGAGTCTATAATCATTTTTCAGTAATACTTCTCTGCTTGTAATGACTGGTGTCTTTTTACCACCCTCCTCGACTTGGCTGATGATCACTGCTGGAATTATTTGCCTTTCCATTATTCATAGAGGAAGAAACCCCACCCATACATTCTCACACTGAGCACTATCTTCCTCTGCAATAAACTCCAAAGTAAATCAGCATGCCAGAATCTGGCTCAGTCTGAGTTTTGTAAGGGGGCATAATAATTAAAAAAAAAAAAAAAAAAAAAAAAATCTGCCAGACACTTTCACATTTCTGTTTTTCCCCTCTGCTTTTTGGCATTCAAATCTCAGAAGTCAAGTGAAGTTCCTTCCAAGTTGCTGAACATTTTGTTAAAAATCCTAAAAGAAGAATATTCTATGAAAACTTCTAAGAACTTGCAGCACAGAAACACTCCCCTCCTTAGCAGAGATTAATGGAAACATCATTTATATTCTAGCTGTTAAAGGGCTGTGATAGAGATTCCAATTATGTGGATATATTTTTTTTTATATATGCATTTTGAATCTTCAATGGTTTCCTTATGAAACAGCCTTCTAAATGAACAAACTGTGTGAACAGGTATGTCCAGATGCACTTGATCAATCAGTGCCTTAGGCCCCTGGCAGACATTAATATAATCACACAATTAAGATCTAACAAATGTTATCCTGGATCCCAAAAACTATGCTGGCCGTGCAAGGCAGGATGCATGATTTTGGTGACTGGGATTAAATTAGTTGGGTCCCAATTGCATAGCTGCTGGTGCATGGGCCTAGGCTTCCCATGCCTGGACCTTCAAAAGGAGCTGTGGGAAGCGTAGCTATTGGAAACTGGTTCCCAGGAAGTCCCTTCAATTTGCTGGTGAGAGGGGAGTTACCCCCTGATGCTGGGTTCCCTGTGCTTGGACCTTTAAAGGCACACTAGGCAGCACAGCATTGGGAATCAGTCCCTGATACTGGGCTGCCTGGTGTGTCTTTAAGCTTGTCGATGCAGGGAAACCCAGCATGGATCCATTCTCTGATCTCGTATTCCCCTCATATTCACATATGCAAAGGGCACACATGCAGCTGGGTTGCACATAGGCTTAGGGAGCCTGGGATCAGGGAGTCCCTCCCCAAGTCAGGCTTCTGTGGTAGCATGTTCATGCCACACATGCAATACAAACCAATCATAAAGAAGTTCCACGTTAAATGTGGAAGAATTTAATTGCATGATGTCATGTCTATCAGGGGCCTTAGACAGATGTTTCTGGGACAAGCAGCAGCAGCAGCGGCAAACAGGCCTTAAAAATGCCAGGCCGCTCAACACCACCCTAGGGTATAGACTACTCTAGCTATACTCTGTTCAGTACTCTCCCTCTAAAGCATCAATTCCTGCCACTACCTGAGATGAGGTACTGGGCTAGATGGACCATTTGTTTGCTCCTGTATTGTGCTTCTTATGTTTTTATGATATAGGCTCAGTTTGAGATGTGGACTCACCAAGCCAACAGTACATTGGTTCACAAAGGTCTGATTGGTTTGACTTTAAAAACTGCTTGCAAGAATTAATCATGGCCACTGCTCCTATTAGTGTTGGGGTCTTTGTGGATGTGGCAATATTTTTCCTCTTAAAATCTGGTAAATGGTGTGTTAAGTCAGGATGGCCTAAAATCTCTTTGGCTCCGTTTTAAGAGATTTTTTTATTATCCTTTTCACTCAACCCGTTCTAACCAAGCTTGTTTATTTTATACAAATAAAAGGAATTGCTCAAACACTTGCTGTGTTTCTATAGTTATATCAAAGTAAACTTCCTTTTATAGTGAAAATTGAATAGAAAAAACCTTACCTTAGTTTGTTCAACATATCCAACAACTGCAGACCTGCAAGGGGGAGAGAACATATCTTGCATTATGACCTACTAGAATGTAGGCACTTGTGATGGCATTAGGGAATGATTTTCTATGCAACTCTATCCTCCCCTCTCTGTCCTTTCATAAATGCAAATAATTTGATTGCTATTGGAGGTGTGGGTATTTATTATCATCATGATGACTTAATTTTACTGTTGAAATCTCTACTGATTATGGACAGTACTATATGGAGAGCTAAGAGCCCAATTCTGCAAACACTTAAGCACAAGTTTAACTTTACCTACTGTCCATAATAACATGGTCTTCGACGAGGAGTAGGGAATGTTAAGCATGTGTTTTAAGTCCTTGCAGGTTCAGTGACTACAAAGAAAGAATGTTAACTGAGGAACTTGTGGGCCTTGATCTTGCAATTATTTGTGCACCTGGAAAATCCCTTTGAGCGAAGTATTTCAGGAGCGTAGTTTACAATGCTGTTTAAGAGCATAAATGTGTAAACTGCACATGAAGTCTCTTAAAATGGAACATCTGCCTCATTAGATATTGTATTACTCCTGTTCAAGCAATTAGAATAAGCTGTGTTGTTTTTAAATTGTGTGCTATATTTAAAGGGCCAAACTGAGTCACTCCTGGCAAAAGGAAGCATGGCTCCCATTAACTGCTCCAGAACTGCTCCAGAACTGAAGTTGGCTGCTCCAGAACTCGAATGAAGGTTGGCATGCTATAGAAAAGTGTTGATTAAAATAGCTCCTGGAACAATGGGTTACAATATGCAGGATAATTTAAGTGGGAGTTCTGTTAGGATACAAAGGGAAAAGATTGAACTGATATGAAAGGGAGGAACAAGGCTTACAACAATCTACTAAAGGATGTTTCTCAGAGATAAAAACAGAGATGAGTTGGAGGTCAGTAAGTTGGTGCTCAGTCGGACTACTTATTAATATATGATGCTTGATGTGATGCAATTTGTATACTTTTATTTTTCAAACTATTCTAAATACTGTATTTATTTACCTATCACATGCAACATTTCCCCCAAACTGAGGCACGTGTCTTTAGTGAGGAAGCCGATTACCCTGCTAGAGCAGAAGTATGGGGAAGCTAGAACAGCTGGGGGTGCGCTTCATTCTGGCTGCATGCAGCCAGAATGAAATCCAGTTTTCAGGGTCACTTGCTCATCCCCTGCTGCTCAGCCAAAGGCTAAAGGTTTAACCGTCTCACAGCCACTGCTGAATTAGCAGCAGCTTTTGGCCGAGCAGCCAATATTCCAGGAAAAAAATATTTTCTTCATTCTGCCTTCCTACAACAAGGTGCATCTTATTTGAGGACGTGTGGTATACAAGAAACTATGGTGTATTTACTCATGTGTTGAAAACAGGGTAGATAAAAATCAATGATTAAAAAAAAAGGATTTTTTAAAATTTAAATCAGATTTTTTTTTTAATTTAATCAGATTTTTTTGTTAAGATGCTTTTAAAAATAATAAATTTATATAGAGAGAGTTTTAATTTAAGGTATGTTTAAAGCTCAATGATATCATCATAGAATAGGGATTATAACTTCTAGTTATATATTATTTGAGACAATATATTCATGTAACCTTTTTAGAAGTAGGTCGCAAGAGGCCATAGACTATGTTAGGGGCCCAATCTCATGGGGTCCCTAGAGGCTCCTTCATAGATTAGTAAAGACTAAAGAAAACCACTCTACCCAATGGGACTCAGTGCTTAGTCTAGAAGACCCCATTAAGCATCTCTGTGATGCTCAGTTTCAGTTCTCAAACTGTTGATTTGTCTCCAGAGATCATAGGCAGACATGGTTCTTTGGGCAGATGTGATATCTTTTCTAAGATCAGCTAAATAGTTGGAAAACAATGTTCTTTGCAAGTTTTCAGGCACAAACACCCTTCTTCATGCATAGGCAGAGTTTATTGTTTCCAGAGATAACATCCTTATTAACAGCAATATACGGAAATGAGAAATAGCAGACCTGATTACCCACCCACCAGCCCTATTGTCTCTCTGCAAGTTTGTATACACAGAACAAGCCCTTACCTCTCTCTAAAAGTGCAAAGTTTCAAAAAGTTAAATGAATAAAGAATATCAATGACAAGAATGCACTTCTTGTAGAAAACAATGATTAAAGCAAGGCCTCTTGCCCACTGATTCAAATAATGATTTAAATCTATTTGGTTTAAATCAAATCCACCCTGGCTGGAAGCAGGCAACAAAATGCTCTGGATTCAAGAGGCTAATTCCCATGGAGAGAATGGGGTCTGAGCAACTTTCTTACCAATAAACTCATTTCTGATTTGCACTCTGACTCTTAGGTCTTCTGTCGCCAGTATTATCGCATTGATGACACTTAGCAGTGTTGCCATGTAAGGTACATTATCTGTGGTCGAGAGCTCATTCATTATGACACTGAACCGATACTGCTGGTTCTTCACGGTCTGTTAAGAAGGACACAAGGGTTACTGCAGACTTTCGTGTTCAGAAACCTCTTCCTTTAAGACCAGATTCTAAAACAACTTCTGCATCTTAAATCCTCGTCAGTGGAGGGAAAAGATGTGGGGGAAAGGAGGGACTTTCAGTCATGGAACAAGCATCTAATCAGCAGTGGAAGTAACTGGGATCTTCTCTCTAGCACTGGAGGACATCTTGGTTGGACTGTTGTTGAGATGCAGAGCATCTCCCTAATATAGTTCCCAAGCCTGGTTTTTACAGGCGGAGAAACCCAGAGAAATAGTGCCTTTGTCCTTGAGTTAGGCCAACCACAGAGATCTGAGATTGACAGCCGGCTTCCTGTAGCCGAGTTACTGAGCAGCCGCTCAGATTTCTGCTGATGTGGAAGGGAGGTTTCTTTTTTTTTCTGACCAAGCCAAACCTCCTATAAAATTAATATTTGACTTCCTGCTCATCAGCAGTATGATGTAAACTGACCCCTAAGCCTGCATGGGAGAGAACTGGCCATGGATCTGATTTGTGGGCTGACAACAGAACAGTAAGAAATACTGCATGGGGAACTGTTATGGATGATAACTCTACTTCTGCACTTACCTTGTAATGGTCCAGAGCATCCAAAGCCAGAGCATGGCCACTGGGACAGTACATGCAGAGTGCAGCTAGCAGTTCAAACACCTGCTTCTTCACCATGACGTTAGATGTGTCTAGTGCTGCAGAACAAGAAAGCATGGATATTGGTGCGTAATGCTCTGAAAGATCCTCCCGGTCCAGGACCTTTCACCCATCCCAGCTATGTGCTTATGACTCCATGTGAGCTTGAAAATATTAGCATATCCTGCTCAGTGAAAAATCTCGACGCTTGATTTATGCATTTTTATTTTAAATTTGCAGAAATTGTTTAGTTCCTTGAATGGCAGACAAAATACTCATTTTTTGTGAGTTTCTTGTTTTGTTTTGGGGGTTTTTTTTTGCATGAATACAGTTCTATTTTTCATTTAGATGGGCCCAAAATGGATGTCAAGTAACCCAATTGCTCTAATCACCCCTCCTGAATTTCTGTGTTCCCCGTTTCCCTCTCTGTGTCCTAGTAGGAATTGCTCGGGATATCTTAATTGTGTTTTGCCATTGAAGAAAGGCTGGATTGCTAAACAGGGTAGAAATTCCCAATTGTATATGTTGTATCTGGGTAAAATACATTTTTGGAAAGAAGAAAAGGGAAGCTCCCCTTTAAACTTGAGAACCAGGACTTAAATTACGTGGGGGCTTTAGATGGATGTAAATTAATGGCTATGGCTTGATTAAAGTGACATAGATCTCTACTGAAGATCTCTTCATTGTGGTTAGCTTTGTACAAATAATCTATATAAAGACAGACAAAAGGTAGAAAAATGAATTATCATCTTTGTTTTATGGATGGGAACAGACTGAGACACTGGGGGGGGGGGGGGTCTGTCACCAGGCTAAGTACAGAACCCAGTTTTTCTGAGTTTAGGAAAAAAAGGAATTGCCTTCCTTTATATCGGTTATAACTGTCAAGGCTTCATTGCTGAAGCTTCCTTAGCCTGACTTTTTGAACCCGAAAGCTTGCTTAATAACTATTCTCCAACCATTTGGGTTGGTCTAATAAAAGATATCAAATTCACCCAAGGAACCTTGTCTGCCTAAGGCTTCACTGAGTAACTCGACTCCCTATTTTGTGGCATAAGAAAGAATGAGCATCAAACAGCTGGTTACTAGGTGAGGGGTGAGACTGAATGAACCAGAAGGGACCATGTTACGCCAAGACAGACTGTCTCTAAACTTTAGCAAACACAAAAGACTTGTATGTGGAAATGGGTCTGATTTTTTCCTCCCCCCTGCCTCTGCACCAGAAACTGGAAGGACTGCTGCTATTATAAAGAAGGGGTTCTTTGTGAGGAAAATAATGTGTTTTACATCAACAGGCATCCAAATAACATCTAATGTACGTGTGAGGGCATATGCTAGAGCCCCTACGTGTTTAAAAGATTGTAGAATTATACAATTAATTCAAAGGAAACTGTAGTCGGTGAAATATGTTCAGAGCAGAGCAAATAGCTAAGCAGCAGGAAGCCTTATTAAGATGCTTTCTGCTGTCTAGTACATGTGGCTTGAAAGGAAGGGTGACTGTTCTTACCTTGAGAGAGTTTTCTGATGTAGCCTTCATTGTCCACAATGTATTCAATTCCCCTTTGGGAGTTCATTACTGCTCGTACACAATTAATGCAGGTGAGCTGAAGCAAGGCATCAGAAATCTTGGACACTCCTCGCCCAGACAGCCTGTCCAGGGCTTCTAGGAGCAGATCGAGGCCACACAGTTCCAGGAACTGGACCATCCAGCTGTCATCGCTGCTCTCCAGCCGCTTCTTGAGCCCAGAGTAGTTCACCACAGAAGGGATTTGGAGGAGGCGAATGCACAGCTCTGGCTCTGCATTTTCCAGGTTGGCCTCTGTCTGGTCGCTCTCCTGGGGCCCAAGCTTCTCCTTTAAGGCAGCCCATTTCTTGTGGGCACCTTCTTTCTTGAAAGACATTGTGAATAATCTCTCCTTAAAGGGAAAGAAAAGATCAGGTAAGAACAACTCTTTTAAGGCACGGGCGCTTCTCATGGCCATCAGAGATGTAAACCTGAGACGCATTGAAGGTCTTTATTCCCAAGTCAAATTGGAAGTGCCCAGCAGGTACGCTGACCCATGGAAGAATACCTCTCCAGCTATGGAATAAACATATCACTTCATTTAATCCACCCATATTTTGATTGATCACTGCAATTCATCCAGAATTTTAACCACTAGGTAAACCAGGAGTGTTAAACTTGGTCCAATAAAGTGGCTACCCTGGCCAGACTGCACCACATATGGCAGCAGCCCCAGCAGCTCTGTGACTGTGATGTGAGCAGGGAACGCTCCAGCCAGTCCATGACCCATGCTGCACATGGTGCTTGCTTGGAGCATGGGTACTGGACTTGCCACAGTGGGCTCTATGGGTGGCGTGTGCCCCAGAGCAGTGGCACAATGTGGCTAGGGTAGCTATCATGTGCAGTGCAGCCATTGCTCCGGCTGGACCATGCCACATGCAGCGCCCGTTCTGCCCAGTCCAGGATCTGTACTGCACACAGAGTGGGTCCTAGACCTGCTGGAATGGCCATGGGATCTGGTATACTGGGGGAATGGGAGAGGGAAGGGGATGGAGAGGGGGAGGGGGTCCGTTGGCCCAATCCAGCCTGCAGACTGGCCCTGCACCATGGGCACACGTTGTACCCCATGTAGGTCTGACCAGACCCAAATGCAGCACTGGGAGCTGAATGGTGGGACTTTGCAGGCTGGATCTGGTCCTTGGGCCGTATGTTTGACACCTCAGAGTTAAACCATTGGCTTTAGCCATTGGTGCATCAAAGGCTGCAGACACAATCTAATAAATTTACATCAATGCATCAATCCCTAGCCATTGGCCAGTTTGCCCACAGGGAAAAGGATAGTGTTGAAAGTGCCATAGCTACAGGTGTTTGCTATTTTCCTCTAGTCTAGAGCTCCTTACCTTACAAAATCTAAATGAGGGTTTGCTCTTGGTGGCGGTATACAGAAGTAGCCGAAAAAGTGTTCTTCCCTTCCCTTTTCCTGAAACTGTGTTTTATTCATTTTTACTTTTTGACTGAGATTTCAAATCCTGAAAATGTTGGCTGGAAACAGAAATTGTGGGGGAGGGCCTTATGATCAAAAGATTTCCAGTAAAAACCTCTTTCCTCTCCCCTCACCACAGAGAAACCACTTGCCAGAATTTGTATTTGTCAATTTTTTAACATTTAAACCATTAGGGGAACATTTTGACCAGGCTCTTACTGGGTTTGTTTGCTTCATCCGTGATCTTGACTGTGCCACGTGGTGCTGGCTAATAAGCGTGTTTTACTCTCTATTAAATGGTAATTCCACACGTATGGGGTGGGTTGTAGGGATGGAGAGGGGGTGTTGCATGTCCATTTAAATGGACACGCACATCAACGCGCACATTGCAGCCCACTGAGGCGGGATGAGAAACAAGGCACGAGAGTCATGAAGCTATTGCCCCTCCTTTGAAGCATCCGAAGTCTGAAAGTTTGTCTCTGCTCCTCTCCCACTGGTGTCCAGAGCAGAGTGGAGTGAGAGGAACATGTAATACAGTGACACTTCGCCCTCGGTAGCTGGGGTCACACATGCAGTCAGCGTTAACCAAAGAACCACAACCACATCCACATCCCTCTTTTCCATTCCTTTTTCATGTCCTTCATGTCCTTCTGACAAGGATTTGCAGATTTGTCAGAATCAGACACGGCCGGGCCGTAAGCGCTTCTGCTACGACCTACGAGCTTGCAACCTCTGGTTTGTCAACTGTACTCCTTGGCACCCACACCACCCCAGTCCCCATCTACATCCCTCAGTGAACTGTGGCAAATCTGTTCCAGACCCAAAGTGAAAAGCTACAGCACACTCCATAATGTGCCCAGTCCAACAAAGCAAAATGCTTGAAGTGTGGCCCGCCTTTGAGGTTTGCTAAATTTCTGCATGGACTTATTTAAAACATACCCAGTACATGCCATACAAAACCCCAAGCACTTGGATAACACTTCTTGAGGAGGTGTTGAGGTGAAGAGCCACGTGTGGTTCAGTAGCTGCAGTCTGAGTAAATGAAGTTAAACACGATGCATGCACCTTGCACAGGGCACTGGCTCTACCTACCAATGGGCTAGGAAGGGGTCAGGGGGACGCTGCTCCTCTGGGTAAACGATTGTGGCTCTGCTTCTTCTAAACAACCTTGCTGTGTGGTGAGAAGTGGAGAAAGAGAGAGGGAAACTGAGCCACTCGGGTAGAAACGAGCTCAAGCCTGACCTGCTACAGTCCTGTTAGGCAGTAGGTGGCCAGCGCTGTTTTAAAGAGCCAGCAGGGGATTCTCCTACTGCAGGGAGAATACCTAAAAAAGTATAAAGTAGACACAGGTGGCATGCTGGGGCTAGCAGGGTTGTAGTTCGATGTGCTGTGCACTGACAACTTCTGCATGATAGTCTCCTGGCTGCTGCATCAGTGCTTTAAGTTTAGAGCAACCCCCAGGTTGGTCTCTAGTCTGTATTGGCAGCCAAACTGTGGCCCCAGGACTCAGAAGCTGCAGCTGCTTCCTTTATGGCTTTCCCCACCTCCCCTGCACTCAGCTGAGACTGGTCCTAGCAGAGGATGGATGTTCAAATTATGCATGTGTGGGAAGCATGGAATAATCTGTAATCCCCAGAGAGTTGCAAAGCCCACGTTAGATTTGTACAATCCATAATCCTGTTTTTGTGCTCTCCTGCTAGTGGGAAAATGGCAAGCCTGTTTTCTTAGTCTGAGCTAAATTAAGTACACAAAATAAACAGCACAAAATCACAGAAAAACAGAGCTGGACAGGCTCTCAGGAGGCCAGCTAGTCCAGCCCCCCCTGCTCAATGTAGGATCAGTCCTGACAAACCCATCTCACTATCTATGCATTTCTGGATGGCAGAACGTAAATTAGCTTTTAAAATGTTCTTGGTAACACATTCTGATTCTATTTCCCTTACAAATATGAATGTCGCCTCTATGAGAGTTCCCCTCTAACTGCTTTTTAAAAACCTTGCTATGTCTGAATGTTCATAATATGACTCCAAAAATAGGTTTGATCACATCCTGTTCATAAAAGCATCCCATTATAGTGCTTGCTTTTTCCTTTGTTTCTTTGGCTGATGTGGAAGTTAAGTTTGTAACATGCTCTTAATCTCTTCCTCTGCTTATCTTAATCAGATGTCACTTGAACAGTGTAGTGTTTGCCTGCTAGATGTGAGTGCACAATGGGTTGTACCTTGCAGGAAATGATATTATAATACCAATTATTGGGTCTCTTCTTTCAAAGGCCATCTCCAGGAGGGTATTATCTGTAGCAGGCATTCTGTAGGCAGCAAGGACGGAAAGCGGGAGGCACTGACTCCTCACACAGCAATGTCAGACCAGGATAAATTCACTCTTGACTGTGAATGTTTCATCTGAGATAAGGCCTCCAGCAACAGACTCCAGTTAGGTTAAAGAGTTTATGCCTTTCCGGTATGTTTTAGCAGCACTTTTCAAATCAAAATAATCAGGGAAAGTACATGAAGAACTGCAGATGCTAAGGCTGGCCTTCATGGAGTTTGTCTGGCGTTTCTGGAGAGCGGGCAGGAGTGTCTTCTGCAGCAAGAGCTTGGTTAATGGCTTCCCTCTGTTGGACTTGGTAGAGGCTGGTCATAACTGGCGATGGAAGTTTAAAGCGGTATGTGTGACGGGGCAGGGAACCAGTGCCTAAAGTCAGCAGCTGTATTGGGATCACAGAGGCTAGCGCTTTCCACCCAGAGGCTCTGAACTTCGGTGACAGCTTCTGGTTCTTCATCTAGCCATCTGGGACGTCTCCCAGTTCCCTCCTTTACGGTACTGTAAGGGAGTCTCTTTCAGTACTATAAGCACCGTACTCTCAGGGAACCTCTCCTATGCTGAGCAGAAGATTCCAACATGGAAAGAAGAAATTAGGGCTGTCAGGGCCATAAAATGGGGGTGAAGGATAGGAAGATGTGAAGAAAAGCTCCTCTGAAAGCTCCTTAGGGCCTTCCCATCAAGCACAGTGCCTCAGTTCACTGTACCATCCCAAGAGGGGCTTCAACAGAGAAGGGTGGAGGATGACACAAAACAAATTTCCTACTTCTGCACTGCTCCAACCCATTGGGCACTCAGCTGCTCACAAGGCAGAGGGGACAATGCAACCCTAACTCCTGTATAGCAGCAGGGAATCTAGTCACAATGGGCACAGGAATGAGCTTGCAACGTGCTCCTATTCCACTGCTCAGTAGTACTGACCCCTGGTGAACAAGGCAGTTAGAAGAAGAGTCAAATTTAAAGAAGCTAGCCAACCAGCAGCAATTACCCAGGACCCCCAATTCATGTGCTTTTATTTCCTCCATGCCCCACAATATTTGGAATTTCCCCCTGCCCCAACGCTTAAAATCCCAGCTCCCAGTCTGAAGGGATTACACAAGAACCTAATCTTTCCTTAGAGACACAAGCCACAGTTTCTAGCTCTAATTTGGCAGAGAAAAGCTTGAAGATATGAGCTTGAGCGTCTTGAAAAGTAGCCAGAAAGCAAAAAAAAAAAAAGGACTCAGTATTGAAAAAGAATTCTATAATTTTTAAAGGGGATCTCTCATTCTTTTTTTGAGGTGTGGCTTGTCATTTTTGAACCTGGAAGTGCTACTTTATGCTCTAATAACAGAACCATGCATCCAACTTGCTGTCAACCTGCAAGGAGTTCAGTGTTGCAGGGAACTTCACCCCACCCCATCCTTTAAGATGACCATTCTTTCGAAATCCACCTCCATAAAATATGTGTATTGACTTCTGATTTGGCAATCAGGGCTCAAAGCTTCTGTATAAAACATGTCCTCCTTCCACCCCCAAAAGCAGCTGTGGAATGCATGGCATGTTCTAAAAAGCCCCAGCATTTAGGCCTTTAGCATTTGAACTGATTTGTTGTTATATAGTTGGGA